AGTCATAGTGAAGAACGAAGAATGTTTGCTCTAAATTTTTGACGACTACCATAACTGAAAAGAATAAAACATGCTTCGAGCTGTTAGGTCTAGTGCTAAACGGGTGCTTGTTTCGTCCTATTGAACTCATCAGTAGCACCCTCTCGCGGTTCAACCCTGATGCTAAATAATCCTCTATCTATAAAAGAATCGACGCCGAGTAAAAAAATCATCCTAAGTTAGACTCTGGAATAATCTGACATCTCAAAACATTTTATATTCCTATTAGATTATATCATTTTGAGCGGATCCATAAAAAAGCGGTTGAAAGGAGAGACTACCAAAATTGAGATCGTGCATGTTGTCTTTGATATTAAGGAAATGTGGCATTTCAAGGTCGGGAAATCAGTGCGGTCCGCAAGACCTTGCAAGGCCCCCATCAGGCCATACCAGGATTTCGTAAGAATGGAATCAATCAAAATTAACAATTTCGCAGAAGAAACTAAAAATTCTAGAAGCAGAACTGTATCCTATGACAAATTTGACGACCTTCGTGCATTATGAGTGCGAGAAACACAAATTGACTAAAAGGATTACTATGATCCGTACAATATGATGCCGCATTATGCGAAATGAGATAAGTAAAACGATTAAAAAAAGCGATTCTTTAAGAACGCTCGAAACAAAAGGCATAATATTCTAGAAATACCAGCCACTTAATCGAATGTGCAACACTACCGATCTAGTAATTTATTTCACTTGACGGCATGTGTAAATTGTTCGTCGTCGCCTACTCAAGGTGGGAGGAGTGGAGTACCCCAAGGGCATTGCTTAAGACGAAAGGCAGTGCCCGACTGACGATGCCGTGAAGGTCGAAATACGTGAATCGGGCTGTACAAGAGCTCATAAGAGACCACATGACATGTTGGCTCAAGTAATTATTATCAGATATATTGAAATTTGAGCGGGCTCTCGAGAAAATGTACAAAACGAACTACTCTTTCGATATTTTAGCTATAATGGCAGTTGGCAAGAGACAATAATTTTTTTGTGGAAACCTCCCGCAGGCTTAGTAATCCGAAAGATATCAAATTTAAAGTATTCGCTTTTGTAACTCTGTTGAGAACGTGCTGCAAATGAACAAATAGACTTCTCGAAATGTTTCGCTAACAATTTGCTGACGGCAATTTTTCTGTTAGCATTGACTTCATCGTACGAAATTGTAATGGTGACTTACTACTCTATCTAGAAATACTGAGACTTTGGTAACGAATTATCAAAGAAAATGTAGCGAAATAACGTAGAAATTAGTAATGGATCAATTTCAAGTAGTTCAGTTTATTTGAAATGATAGTTCGAATAGAAGACGACAGTAGCAGTGTGCCATATGGTCCATTATTCAGCCGTGTTGCTGGTACGGCGATCAGTAAAATGTTTGCTAATTAGATTTATAGTTGATGTCGATGTTATGTTAGCAAATTCTTTCTGTTCGACCTTTATAAGACTTCTCAGAGGTAAATAATAAAATTTCACATATGGATAAAAGTTAGACTTTGTACTTAAAATAGCCTCGGTGACCTGAGTTAAGATGCAGACCAAAGGTAGATGAGTCTCGATATGAGGATAAACGATTAGCTTTGAATTTCGTGTCCCCTTTCGGCCAGTCAACATAAACATGATAACATGATAACATGAACTTGAAAAATCATTTAGCACATTATTCTGATGATCACGAACTTGCTGATAGGATTATTCGCCTATCAATGCTGGAATCTAAAGAAGGCTAATTCTCCTGAGAAGTTTGCAACGAATTCGAAACTTCATAACGAATAAAGTCGGTCGGCTCATCAACTTGGCAACATTATACATTGTTTAGTTTAGTCACAATATACCCAGTGATGTGGAGTGCTGTGCAAAAACATTTGCGTCGGCCGGATTTAATTTTAGATCTCACTTTTTACCGGAGCGTATGTTAACCGTTGCACCACCGACGCATTAGTGTGCGGTTCATGAAAGAGGGGAGATCTGGGATCGAATCTCGGCTGACGCAAATCTTTTTGCACAACACTCCGCATTATTGGGTATATTGCACATCATACTACCGCAAGTGGCGGTCAAGTAAAAAAAATTCTGATTTTTAGTCATTGTGTTGAACATAATGCTAATTTTAAGAATAACACATCCTCCTCTGCCAGTAACTCCCATGAGGAATTTCGACTCCTTAGCACTTTGTAATATAAATGTGATATTGTCCGTAATTCTTAAGCATGGCCCTGTTCAGTCGACGCGAGCTTGGCATCAGTTGTTGCTGCCACTGCCATTTTTGTTATAGCTGATGTTGTTGTTGCTGCTGTCGTTAGATGACTAGCATCACGGCGACTTCATCTTCTTAAGAGCGTTTTGTATGATATAAGATTGTATGGGATATTGCTTCGATAGTTGTTATATGCCATGTCATCAAGAATAGTTCGACTATCACAGTTCTATTTTGACTCTTACCCTTGGTAGATGCTACCTTCCTGAGTGCCGCAATATGGTATGGAAATATTAGGACACCATTAGCCTGAGCAGTTCTTGTGGATAGAAAGGACTTTTCTATGTTTTTCCATAAATCCTCGCTGAAGTGTTTGCATCGAGTCATAAAATTTGAATCGCTTGAACGAGAAAGTGAATTCTGTTTGGTTGGGGACAACTTCCTTAACACCCGCTGAAAATTCCAAGTTTCTATATGAATCCTACTGGAAACAACAAGAACTATTCTTTAAAACGAAGGCCATTATCAACGATCTTCTGTCAACAATCTGCATGCTTCCGGATTTGCTAGAAATACCATTCTTTGGGTTTTGAATCGAAAACTCCTGACATGCCTCTTCAACTTAATCAAATGTCTCAAATCGGCGTCCACGCAGCAAGTGATCCATTGAGAAGAAGTGGACCATAATCGGACGAAGTAGTGTCCGGATTGTCGGCCTGGTGCAGCAAAACCTCTCCTCCCTCCAATTTGTCAGAATTTTCCTCAGTCTTCTTTGCGGTGTAAGTTTTGACGTTTTCTTGCTGAAACAGCGCGGGCTTTCGATGAATCAGTGTCAGGTACTTTTCCTTCAACGCATCGTAGACTCGGTCCATCTGCTCGCTGTAGAGTTCAGCATCGATGCACGAGCATTCGGAACAAGTTCGAAATGCAAGACACCTTCAAAATCTCACCAAGCGCTTCCAGCACTAGCGCATCAAAACTTGAGGCTCAATTTTGTCCATCGTCATTGCTTGATAGCCGAAGAGCAGATTAAAATTTGATGCACTATATCTAGTGTTGCCCATTGGAATATTCGGATTTTTATGGAACATTTTCATGAAATTATTCCTGAGACACTCTCCCGAAGTGACAGTAACCGATGCTGCTCGAAACAAACATAAAATTTGAATTTTTCGCGGATATTAAGGAACTTTTTCTTCAACCTAGTAAACTCAGTGCCATTCTGTAGTAATTTCTTCTTATTTATTAAAATCGATTTTTCAACCTTATAGGTGCGAAACACTTTCCGTTTTTTCTCAAACCCTTAGCAATCATGCGATATCTTAGATTTTGGTAATTTCAATAATGTACTTGGAATTCTAAAAAGCCTTTTTACTACGCTAAAACAAAGAAAATTCAAATTTCATTAAGTTAAGTCAGTTAATTATTGTGTACCACATTCACCACATTTTTTTGCCAGACAAGCACTTTTCTTAGCCTACTAGATTTAGGTAACTACTCGACAGCTTAAACTTTGGCGATTCCAATGCCGTGCTTGCTTCCTGAAGGTAGCCTCAGTGCGCTATAGCAGCGAAACCAGCATTTAGTCTGACATAGAGCGCGTATTTTCAGTTTTTGTTCGCTGAGCTATGAGATTGGCAGTGAGGAGCCGTGCAACATTCGCAACAAAAAGCGCCGAGGCGACTACGGTCGTGAGTAGTCTTTTAGCAGGCTTTAAACAGTTCGATAACAAAAATCTAGCCGATTTTGAAGGTGAATTTGGTTTCGAAACGTTTTTCTGAAACCCTCGACGATCAGAAAGAAGATTACGTTCCGCACTCGCCGGCTTAGGTTGTTTATGCTTGGGCTTATTAGCGCGTTTATTTAGCAATATAGAACGGTAGTAAAAGCCTCATCTTGTGAAAGCACAAAACAAAGTTTCTTTTACAAGTCCAATGCAGAAGCTTAATTACCAAAATGAATGGATCCTCCAGCAATTTATTGTCTTCTTTACAAAATCACATCTAACCCATCCCATTTTGTTCAAACACTTGTTTCATTTAACTTTTGTTCAAGCATTGAGCACCCTCGAAAGATTTGTGATAATCGCATGAATTTGATTGTTGTATAAGGATTTGGTCATCTTCATTAATGACCTTTATTACTGATCGTGTCGATTCTTTTTGTAATTCGGCATAACTACACTAAAAAATTGCAATAAATTTCTGTCCAGCGAAAAAGGCCTTCAAACTACCATGTCCCAACTGAAGTACACGCTGTGTTGAGCCGGAGATGAAAGGAATCCCAAAGATAAAGCACTTCATTGTCTCGTAATACCTCACTTATCCGCGATCTGAATGTTAAGTTTTCTCACTCTCTGTGAATTATGATTCCAAATAATTACAAGTTGGAGACGGTTTCCCGTTATTAGGTATGACCATAATCACACTTTGCATAACCTTCAGCAGAGAACAATTTGCTATCACTTCTAAACAACCTCATACTCTCTATATGAGAGATCTTAGAAGGATCCGTGACTTTATCCGGCCTAACAGTATGCCTGGCAAGCAACCAGACTACTCCTGCTTCAAAGAAAAGTAATGAAAACAAAGGGCTTCGTTTTAAAAAAAATATGATTTGCAAATCTACTGAGCGAGATGAACATTACAGGTAGCTTCGGCATACAACGATAAGGACAATTTCGGAATTCCAGTATTTTTACTGCTTTTTTTTGCAGTGCTATGATGTTCCTATATACCTAAGAGAATTGAGTGGTGAGCAAACATACGGCCTTAGACGGGAGTCGAACCCGTGTTCCATTCGTACCGGGGACGCATGCTACCATTACATCACCGAGAAGAATTGGCTGCATCGGTTATTCTTCAACATCTAATTTTGTTCATCACTCAATTCTCTTCGGTATATGGAAGACAAAATTTGTCATACGCAAAGGCCTACCCATCTACCAACTAAGTGCATTTATCCTTACAGACACATCTTAATCCTAGTACTAATCTGCCGACCGCGGTGGATGGAAGCTCGTTGAGCTTTACTCGACCGCACGTGTGCCGCACGGTACCTCTAACCACTGCGCCACGCGTGCCTCTTAGCTGATGCATGGACTATTGGTTATTCTTGAAGGGAATCTTTGACTTAGGCTTAGAATTATGCCTAGGAATATGTAAAAACCATCTCATAGACTTTTCAGAGTAGAATTTAATGTGGGGCGATGACCAATAATGAAGCCGCCGAAACGTCCTCATGGCTCTGACGTACCAACCTCAAAAAGGCTTTAAACATTCTCAAAGACTATGTTCTGTATAGGCTTATGTTTAGGCTTCGGCTTGTGATTATATTAAGAAAAGTTTCTGTTTTGAGGTAATGAATTATAATTTCTTCTCATAAACGAATTCCTATCAGGATCACGGTAGAACAATTATGACATGTCTTGCACTATCTTACTTGCACATCAACATTAATATCGGATCAAAGAATTAGCAAATATCAACATCTATTAGACTGCATGTAAAATTTCTCGTTGGATTAAATCCTTGTGAAGATTACGTTCAGCTGTTCGACAGTTCTCATACTTCCAACGGAGTCGATTTTCAACGGTAAGTCCTAAACTAAGTAAGGTAAGTTCGTTTATCGATTATCAGAGGCAACAATAATCACTATAATGATGATTTTCTTTATTGTAGTAGCAGTTGATTGAAGTATTACCAAAATTTTTTGTGGCTGCAGTTCGTATCTCCTTAGAATATGCGCCAAGGCTGTTTTCATTTGCAGTTGTGCGACACGCATTCCGATACAATTACGTGGCCCATAGCCGAATGGCATGTACGTCAACGGATCGCGATGAAGACGATTACGTATTGACCATCTGAAATGAAGCCAAATACACCATGTAAATATTCTTACGATATCGATTATTGGAATAAACCAACCATGAAAATCAACAGCATTCAAAAACAGCCTATTTCGACTACGTCAGAAATGCGCGGCAATTTTCGTTCTCGTCATAAGCCACAACTAACTGTAAAAATTTCGCCCCTCAATGGATTCAAAATCACATTTTTGAGGCAGGCCTATTATGGTCGTTTGCCAAGCTCTACTGTCAAGCTGAATATAGTAAAGGATTCTTCCATTATCTCCTACGCACACATTGTAAGGGGGCCGTTTGGAGGCGACAGCTATTTGTTTTCCGATGAAGGTTGTGAGAGAAATGCGGCCTATGGTGATGTTTACTTGCCAGAAACCATATTCAGCTTGTAATTAAGGAAAATCTTGATAACAAAAAGTCAGAGCACTTAACATCAAGAGTACGGATATTTGAGGTTATGAAAGGCATTGAAGTGCTTTTTCTATGAAAATTTTGCGCCTCATGTTCCAAGCAACGCGCACATGTGCTGATAGATGAATGCTTAGAAGCCTTTTTCGCGAAACAAAGTTTTTCCTTACACATTTAGTAATTTTCTGAAATCTAAGGCCTCTGCAATTTCAATACTGTGCCAGGTTTCTAACAGGGCCTCCTGAATGCGTTGTATTAGCGAAAATGAAACCACGCTCGATTTTTCATTCGCTCGTGTAGTACTGTGAACAAAATTTTACTAAGCTTTCAGCAACTATTCGGCAACTCAAATCTCAACAATTACGGAGCTAAAATTAACTGTCGAAAAGGTCTTTATAGCGCTTTGTTGAAGCGAAAAGAATATCACGTTTCAAACCTGAAGTAATTAGCTCATCGTTTACTTCACACCAGGTTCTACATAACTTCATGGTTCAACGTGAAGTGATAATAAAAGCTAATACAGATAGAACGATAGAACAAAGTCTCTTCTACAAATCTATTTTGATAAACTAGAATTTTTCTGAACAAAAAAAAACCCCGTTAGAATTCACTGTCAGGCAACTAACAAAAATCGCGTTGTTCGCAACGATTTCAACTACAGGTCTGAAAGGACGCGATGTTTGTTAATTCTTCAAGAACTTCCTCCGCCTCAAAAAAAACTTTAAGTTTCCTTTCTTTACATCTTGATTCATTACGATTTTCCTACAGATCAGGTGCTTTTGGTCCGTATATCTCTGAGTGCAAAACGTAGTATTATCTTCGCATTATAGAAACTCTCAAAAACCAAATTCAACTCCATAAGTACCTTTTGTAGGCTATCGAATAAGTACTAAGAGTCCATTGAGAAACCTTACACAAACTCTAGCCATGCAGAATGCGTGGCGAAGGTAAATCGTAATCTTATTTTCACTGCTTCATCGCACTAAGAAAACCTTCAAAAATTCGAGTACGATGATAACATCAATGAGATGTGCCAGCATAGATACGCGCCATCTCGAGTGGGTTAATCATCCCTCTATTAACCTTTTAGCAGCCTCTTATTCAGCTAATCCAATCTCATGTGTCTTCATATTGCTTCAGCCTTTCTATTTGATTTCTTTCAATGCACTCATAATCCATGACGAATATTTAGATCAGTTTTCTAATTCTTTGTCAGCATCCGCTGTTTTCCTTTATGTCCAAGATTGGTCTAACATGGCTTTCTGTAAAACGCGTACATAGATATGCTATAGCTCTAACCAGGCATTTATCACATGCATTCACCCCCACTTCTACAGCGACGAAAGTTTACGAACAGCGACGCCTATGCCTGATACTAAATGCTTTTACTTTGGTTATTAAATAGTAAGTTAGTGAGTGGAAAAATTCTAAAAACGAAAGTCGAAAAGATATGCTAAAATAGTACACACACTATGAAACAAATTTCTCAGCTTTTATATGGGGAAGATGGCCAACAAATGCTAAAGTGACAAACATTGGAAAGTAAATAGAAACCGAAGTTCATTTAATCATATGATGAACGATTTTAAGTGCGTTATGGATCAAACGGCAAATTTTTTTATGCGATGTGAGTAACACAATAGTAGAAATGCGGCTCAATATGTGCTGAGCCCTTAGTATTCAACCGCAGTGGTCCAAGCGGCTCCCAGTTTCTTTGAAATCAGGGAACTAGTATCTGATCCGTCTGTGAAAAACGTTCTTCTGTCTAGAAAGACTGGTGACTCTGTAGTCTGAATTGTGAGCTTGGAAACGCCCTAGTGTGGTTGGAGAAATCGACTCATCTGGGATTCAACAATATTTACAAGGAGAACCGAGGTGCTCAAATTGTAGTCGAAATTATCTGCAAATCGGATAGTTTCGTCCATTTTGAAAGCAATGGAAAGGAATTGATAGAAAGAATCGTGGAGAATTTCACGATATAAGATGTCGGGTTACATAACAGTGAAAAGTTGGAGGCAGATTTTCATAACTAGTAGTCTGTCGTCTAGCAATGATAATTTTGTAATACTCAAGACAATACCTCTCTGGATCGAAAACATTCGGCTCCGGATAGAACTCGTGACAATAGTGAATTGCGCGGATGGGAATGCTGAATATACAACCCTTCTTAATTTTGATTCCCTTGATTGTAATGTCTCTGGTGCAGAGCCGATTTGTTCTGAAATGGCAGCATGAAGAAGTAACTGGAAAATTTGGACGAAATCGTCGACTCAACGGTTAATTAAAGTGCGTAAACAATTAGCTGCTTTCTAGTGAATTTGTTCCTCTGGAATAAGGCTTATTCATTAAAACTTCATCGATTTGAGTAACGAAAAGTGAAGATCGACATCCAACCTCACTACGGGCGGATACATTCGGAGTGTTTCTGTAATGCACTGCTCGACGTAGCACATCTCATTCAACATTTCGTAAGTGATTTGCTCCTAGAATAAAAAAACTGACTACATCGCCCTACATGCACATAAATTAACCGATGTTCAGTCAGACGATAAACAAAAATACGAAATGGTGTGCAAAATATTCGACTCCAGGCAGGAGTTGAACCCACGTTCCACTCATACCGAGGCACGTCTACCACTGCGCGGTTGCTAATGCGGTAGGTATTATTATGGTATGAATGACTATTACTGCCGTAAGGGTGACAAGCGGGCTCAACTCTAGTCGGGGGTTGAAAGTTATGCTATCATTTAATGCTCTTAGATGTGCGTTCATAACATCATAACACCACTGAAAAGTGGTAAAGATAAAGAATCCAACTAGATTAACCAGACAACCTTGTCACTACATATTCGTTGAATTTCCTCTCTACAACTCCTTTGAATATCGTCGTTGGCGGCCAGCATGTAGAGAACAAGGTGTAGAGCTGCTGGCGTAGTTTCGAACCCGGCTAACACGAACATAAAGGCCTGACAAGACTATAGAATGATTTCGTTCTCACCTATGACCTTCTGTTATAATACTCAGCGATTGGAAAGAAACGTAAAAACAGCAAATTTGCTTGAATCAAGAGTTAGGATTTAAGAAATCCACTTTTGACCTGCCGTCCTAGGGTCACCGGACTTTTTATGAAGAGTATATTCAGAAAATTTATTCAGAACTGTCAAAATAATGATAAAATAGTTGAATTAAGACTGAAAAATTTTGAACTAACCTGTCCCATAATCTCTCCTTTTGTTAGTCCTTTTCTAATGCTCTGCAGATCAGGCTCGTCAATTCTGTGACAGTCTTTATTGAGAACATCAAGAAGAATTTGGAAAAAGTCGCTATTCTTCTAAAAAAAAAACGGCTGAGATTTTGTTTTCGACCATACAAAAAAACAGAATTGGAGTTAACAACGTGCCAGTCCATTAATTGCTTTCCTATCTTCAAACATCGTTTCTAAAATACCACTGAAAAAATTGTTGGCAGCGTTGTTGATCAAGGACAGTCCGGTTAATCTTTGGAATGCTGAGCAGATGTTGGGAAAAAGTACTGAAAATAGGAAATCTATTTGCAAGTGATATATATTGACAAACT